TGAAGCTGACCTCATCAAAGAACTGTTGCGTGCGACGCAGAATGTGTTTGAGCTCTGTCAGTTCCAAGTAGTTCTTCTTAAGGGCCTCTTGGTTGGTGTTTATTTCCTTCAGCTCATTCTCGAGCTTCTCGAATGTGGCCTGTGGAGAGACGTACAGAGCGGTGAGTAGCAGGTAGCAGTGGATGGTAGAGCTCAATGTTTATCTTAAAGAGAGATTGAGAGCAGTCACCTCCAGGTCGATCATGTCCCTTGGAAAAGGGACTTCTGGGTTTTCTCCAGTGTCAATGATTGTGATGTTTGCCTTCTTTATTTCTTTCTCTACAAATCCTGTAAGTGAGAATTAAAAAGGTGAAAAGAAGGGTACAGGCGTGCATATAGTTGTTTTATGTGGAATAAAGAATCTCTCCTTATAAGCATAAGGGCCTGCCTGTATGAGTGGCAGCATTTTTCATGTCCACCCATGAATTCAAGCAAAAACACAGAAGCTTCTGACTGACAGGGGGTGGGGGGGCTGGAGATGGGACTGACAGGGCTGGTAAAAACTTAATTTATATTTTGACTCTCCAGTGGCCCACCAGGATTTGTCTCTGTATATTTGATGGCCAGTACACCACTGTGTGTAGTCACTGTATGGATGTGTTTTTAAAGAAAAGGAAGATGTCTGTATTATTTAAGATACAGCAAAGCTACATTCGACATTGCAAACGTTCATACCGCTGCCAGGCTCAGGATGTGACACATCCTGCTCCCCTTGACTTTTTTATCCTTTCACATCTAAACTGACCTTATGTGCGGCCTTTGTGGAAACCACCTGAAGGAAATCTGTCAGTGATTGAGAGTTAAAATCTCAGTGAAAAGGCAGTGCTCTAACTTCACTTACTCAGTTTACGATCCATCTCTTCACATCGTCGCACTTCATTGACAAACTTTCGCTGGAACACGTTCACATCAGGATTTAACTGCAAGGAAATAGAACATAACTCAAGGTCGAGCAACACAACATGGATTCGTCATGTTTACAAAGGAATGGCAGTTAAGAAATTTTAAAATTATGCTCCAGTAACATTTGTATCAGAGAAGATGTAAGACCAAGTACACAGATTCTCATCAGCAACCTAAACAGCTCCAGAATCTGTAACTAAATAATGTGCTGAAACAACATTTCCATTGATTTTAGAGTATATCAATAAACTTTTTCAGAGATTCAAAAAACATTTTTTTCTTATGATTTAATATTGATTTTGTTCACTGGTGTAGTGTAATTTGATCATATGAATAAAACATCACTGTGGGTGAACGGACCTACTCTTGTTAAAGCTCAACCAACACTCTAGCACAAAGCTTCTCTCACGGCTCGTCAGGAATGGGTTTTCTTATGCGCGGAATGAGGAGTCAGCTGTGAGCACATGATGAACATGATGCAGAAGGCATGCACTTTCTCAACAGTTTTACTGATGTGATCATTTTTTACATCACCACAAAAGACTTTACGCTTTATGCTGTGAGTACCACCAAGTTTTAGTTGGTAGAAAATGTCACGCAAAATCTGAAGTAAATAATGTGTAAATAAAGATTTATTTCACCCCAATGTATTAGTGCGTTCTACTTGTTTAAAATGTAAGTAATCAAAAATCTACACTCAAAAAATAAAAGAATGTCTAAAGATGTGTCTGCTGCCTTTTTTGTTATTAGCCATGTGAGTGAAGAAGCCGATGACTAATATCAACTTGAATAATCAGCCCACTGATTTATTGGTCTGTTTCACAAGTAAACAACTAAGACATTATGAAAACGGGGCCACAGGAAGGGATAGAGGTGGACTTACATCACGGAATTGCACCATCCCAATCTCTCCCAGTTCACTGACACAACAGTAGGCAGCTTCTGACTGGAGGAAGAGCTGAGCCAGCGTCATCTCCTCACTTCTGAAGAGCTCCCCCATGTTGCTGAAGGATGTGAGCTCTGCGTCGCCTCGAATCAAGCAGCACCTCTAGAAAACGAAAAATATATTTTCCCGTCAGTGGCAAGAATAAAAGCAAACCCCATTTTCAGTTTTGTTCAACATTCAACACTTTTCTCTACTTGGCATGCTCGTGTCAAAACCACTAATGATGGGAGGCCTGTGTCGGTTCTGCGTTAGTTTAGCACAAGTGTGAGAAGAAGCCTTGTGACTTTAAAAAAAGAAAAGTATTTCAGCCTGCCCCATACTGATCCCATGATTAGTACAGGAATGTTCTTATGCTTAGAAAGAGTTTGATCTCTACCATTAAAAGACCTGTGTGTGTATAATGGATTTTTATTGTGGAAGTAAAGCACAAGTTGGTGGTCCTAGTAGGCTGAATTGTATTTTTTTTGTAGTTTAAACGGTGAAGTTTTCCCAGGATATCCTGCAGCCAAGCAAAATAACCTTCTGTAAAAACCACCACACTGGGCTTAACTGTGGATTACAAGGTAGCATGTGACCTGTAGCTCTAGTAAGCCCCACGCACACCACGGCTGAGTGCTCGTTCACTGACCTAACGCTGTAACACAGGTTTGCATTGCCACACCATTAAATAAAAGTAAAAAATACAGTTTCAACATTTTGTTAACAGTGAATCTATAAACTGACACATCAGACAGCTACTGACTAGCTTAGCGTCCTGACTGATGCAGCTTCGCCTGTCAAAGCTGGAGGTGCTACAGAGCTAACAGCTACTGTCACGTCTACTTACGAATTGATGCAACAACACTATTACACACATCGTGCTAATAACGTAGCATAGCCGTGACAGGTTGTGTTGGCTAATTAGAAGGCGTCAGCGTTTTATTTATTTAACTTAAGCAACACACAATTTGGAGTTAGCCGTGTTAGCATGCTGGTAGAACTTCAACATGGCGAAGAAGATAAAAGATATGAGTTCATTCGATGCTATCGTGAGATGACTCTGGTCCCAGTTAGCTAAATTAGCTCACTTAAATGACTTGAGTTGTAATGAGCTAACATGACGGATAATGCTAACTTAGCGCACCTGCTCTGTAATATTTGACCGAGCCCATTTCATAGCATGGAAGCGACTCCAACAGTTTCTATTGTCAGTTAATTGTAATTGTAATTCAGCCATATTCTTATTTTTTTGTTTGTACCTCTGTGTCGTTGCTGTTCAGCGGCAGATCCTGTCTCTCCTCTTCTCAGCCACACTCCGATTTCCGCCCTGGTTTCCTCTTCTGTTTGTTGTGGACTGCTCTGACCGTCTGAAGAAAGGGGAAGTGGAGCAGACGCAGACTCACATGAACACCAGCAGCTCCAGCAGCTCCAGCCCTCTTCTATCGCCTTTATTTTGAAGGTCTGTACCGGAAACGCTCGTGTGTTTTGTTTTGTCCGCCTTGATGCCTGCGGAAGTTAATCATCAACAGTGATCACGGGTGTTCAGCGCCTCCCAGTGGATCAAGTGCGCAAAACAACCGTAAAAAGGTCTATTCGATTATATTTGTGTGAAATGTTGAACGTCCAGTGTGTAAGATTTAGGTGAAAGGGATCTATTGGCAGAAATTGAATATAAATAATCACTAGTGTGTAATCATCTAAATTGTACAAATTGTTGTTTTCTTTTCCCTAGAATGGACCCTTTATATTTAGGGGTCCTCTCTACAGAGGCCACTGTGTTTTCAATCTAAACACCTTTTGAGTTTTTATGATAATTGAAGGCTACCACGTGTTCTCTGTCATGTTTGGAAGTGTAGGATGAGGTGAGGGGTAGGCTACTCAGCTGCAACATGCAACTTCACCACTAGATGTCACTAAATTCTACACACTTAACCTTTAATGTCTGAAGGAAAGAATAAGATGAACTTATATGATTCACACACACATCAGTACACATCCATTAACAATATGACACAATCAACTTCAATCCATACTAAAAACAAAAGAAGGATCTAACAGGGAATGGAAAAATATTTTAATGAAAGTGGCGTTGTTTCTTTATATACAGTCAGTGTGCTTTAAAATACACAGAAGAACAAGTACCTGAAAGATAATATACATAACACGAAATAAGATTAGAATATTGTACAAGATGGTCAACAGCGTTTGTATGTTTGAAGGTTCTTCTGCACAGTTTAACTTACAAACTACCAGAAGATGCAAGCAGATGTTAGAGGCCACTGGCAGATGTTTGGGACATAACCTCAGTTGTACACCTTAGCGTCATCAAGTGTTTTGGCCTTGTAATCAATGATACAGGCCAAACTTGAGGGTACGCTGCGGCTAAAGGTAAATCTGACTGGTTACTGGGTTGTATGGCAACACTAGAAAGCCATGTGGCCCGCTCAGTAGATCAGACATCATTACCTCTATACCTACCTGCCTACCACCTGTTGATGTTATCAGATGTTAGGGACCAACAGCAGATGTTAAAAAACAATCATACAACAATAGCTTTGTTGGTCTGTTGTTGCATTTATTCTGAATGTGTCAACCAGAACTAACACGCGACAGCGTTTGTCTCTGTGTTTTGTGGCAGCTGAATGTGACTAAGGGCCACGCAATCCCAAGTTATTCCTGTGTAGTTCGCTAATTGTCGTACAATATGTCGCAAATTAATATTAACCCTGTGCCATAAGAAAGTTATGGTGAACGTCCCAACAAAGCTGGGCCAGTCATCGCACCACAGCCAAGAAGGTCAACAGGTAAGCATGTTTTCACAGAGCTAATATTTATTTATTTCATTTTGTTCATTAATCCACCTTAACATAATAACATATGAGAACAGAGAAATTATCAACTGTAGAAACAAAGACTTTTTGTGGGACTGGATTGCACCTGTGATGGCCCCCTCACTGCTCCCTGTAAAAGAGTTGTGTCACATATAGGGGGAGTCTGGAGATATGCTGCCCTGTGCCTGGAGACACAATTGGGTGGAGCCCCTGCGGCAAGCCGAGGATAGGGGCGGGTGTGGGGAGGGAAAAGTTTGAAAGGGTGGTTTCACAGGGAGCAGAGGCATTTGAGTCAGGGCACACATGCCTCAGCTGTAAGAGGCCCTTCTCCCCTTGGCTGGCTGGCATCCCAGAGCAGAGGCAGAGAGAGACAGAGAGGGTAGAGTGTGAGAGACGGAGGGTGAAGAGAAAGTTACCGTGGAAAGTAGACTAGGAAAAGGCAAACAAGTGGAACTGAAACTTGAAAAAGCCTTAGGGACTGAGTTTCTGTGCAGAGTGGCTCCTGCAGGTTGTTTTTCAGTTGTGTATTTTTATCTGTAGTTGGCGTGCAAGCGGTTTGACAGCCATGGCAGACACAGGTGTCATGAAGGAGCACACAGCCCTGGCAGAGGTGGCTTACGACGATGAGGAAGTAGCTCTGGTGAGTGCCGCCACAGAACCAGCAGTAGATGATGATGACGATGACCCCACCGGGGACGTGGACCTGGTGCTGGCCTCCGGAGGCCCAAGCGAAGCCCAGATGAATGGGGTCATGGTCCTGTCCCTGCTAGACAAAATCATCGGTGTGGTCGACCAGATCCAGCAGACCCAGAACGGCCTTGAGGCCCGGCAAGAATCCATGGAGAAGTCTGTGTCGACCATCCAGGGGGAGCTGGCCAAGTTGTCCAAGAACCACGTGGGGACCGCCAACACGGTCAACAAAATGCTGGATAAGGTACGCAAGGTCAGCGTCAACGTCAAGACGGTGCGCAGCAACCTGGAGAAGCAGGCGGGCCAAATCAAGAAGCTGGAGAGCAACGAGAACGAGCTGCTGAAGAGACGCAACTTCAAAGTCCTCATCTACCAGGTGATAGGGGGTGAAATGACAGTGTGTGTGTGTTTGTTCTTGTATTTATACATTTTTGAGGACCAAGTCTTGGTTTTCAGGTCAGGGTTAGAATGAGGTTTAGGATTTGGTTTAGATTAGGGTCGGGGTTAGGCATTTAGAAAGGATGGTTAAGGTTAGGGTAAGGGGCTACGGAATGCACTATGCCAATGAGTGTCCTCACTAAGATGTGTGTGTGTGTGTGTGTGTGTGTGTGTGTGTGTGTGTGTGTGTGTGTGTGTGTGTATTATACGTCTCATCATGTTATAGCAAGTAATAGTGGTTTGAGAATGTGATCATCACAGTAAAAAATTACACTCACAGTCCCGGTTGCATTCCCCACATTACAAATAAAAGTTTTGAGTAAGTGAAATGCACCTGAAAAGCCAATTGACATCATCTCACAAGAGAGAGTTTCACCCCCAAATGAAAAGGAGCTGAGCAATAAATCTTACCTTTCATGGAAATACACTGCTAAATAGCATCACACAGAAAGAGGCTTGTGTACATCAGCAAGAACTGTAGCCTCTAAAATAACCGTAGAGTTAGATCAACACAAACTGAGCTGCTGTGGAGCTTTGATTAATGCAGGGCTGCTGCATTCATTTCAGCCCGGTGTTCCTAATAAACTGGCATCTGAGTGTATTTTCCCGGTGGTTCCACCTCTGCGGTTTCCATGACATAAACGCCAGGATCACTTTTTCCTGAAACTTGAATGAGGCTGTGATATTTGTGAAGCGTCCGACAATGTGCTCCTCTATTTAGAAGCTGTTGTGTAATCTGTGCTCATGCTCGCAATGGAGAGCCAGACTTCCATGGGGAAAAAAAAAAACTGAGGCAGGTATAGTGACCTCTCTCATTCCACAGGAGTTCATGATTACCCAATGAAACTAAAGAAAGGCTTGTGGGTGTAAATAAAAATACAAACCTCATAAACACTGACATGATGGGGCCACTCGAGACAGAACCAACGCCCAACCTCCGAGTGGCCAGAGGGCAGATAGTTGGCAGGCCGGTCACTTGTAAGATGAAGATCTTCATTATGAAAATTTCTCAGAAGTGGGAAGTGTCGAATGATCTGAAATTTGCTTTCAACGCCACGAATCAAAGAAAATGCCTGTTCCTGAGAGTTTGCACATGTCACATCATAACATTTGCAATCTTTGCTGGCTGTTAAAGGCTGAAGATTTTCTTTAAAAGCATTAGTAACAGTAAATCTCAGAGTTGCAAGCCTCTCGTGAGTAGAGCTTTTCTGGGTCTGCACTGGCAGGCCAAAACTTTTTCATTTCCCCCTCCAGGGATGTCCTTTGTGGGAGCAGGTTTCACTATCGGCATCTAGCAGAAATCCAATCATACACTAAATTACTAAATTACTCTGTAAAGCAGTGGCTTCCTGCTGCTTGAGCCTCTTAACAGTCACGAAGGTCTGCAAGCAGTTGTCAGTGCAGGAGTCAAGTCAAGATATTGAGCTATTTATGAAGTTTGACATTTGAAGGCTTTTATTCTGAGTTTGGATTGTATTACAACTGGTAGAGAACCGGCATAAACCAGTCCCTGTTTGTGTTATTGCAAATGTAATGCTCTTATCTCTGTCTATAGTTGGTCTCTGTCACGTTTACAAAGCAGTTGTAAGAACTGTGCACAGCTTCCATGGCGCAGTAGCAGTTTTGGGCTCCCACGGTCTATATTTACTGCCAGAGGATGGCCGCACAGTGTCCAGTTTAGATGACTGACAGACGCGCTGCTCCAATATTGGCAGCATTGCAAATCAACACTGGCTCCCCGACATGTTTCACCACTTTCCGCAGTCTGTTTGTGTGTTAATGTGTTAGAGTGGGATAAGTTTAGAATTAGGTTAAGGATGAGATCAGGGTTAGGCTTCTATATGGTTAGGGAATTAATGCAAGCTAGCTTAGTGTCCTCACAAGTTTAGTCATACCAGTGTGTGTGTGGGTGTGTGGCCATTCCTCACCAGTACTTGATTTCAACCACAAATTTAGTGTCAACTGAGGCAGAATTGAGTAAGACAAGTGACGTATCCTCAGCTTTGTCAAACTGACACTCTCTACTGCATTCTGTCTGCGTACTCTGAGAATAACCGCATACTTCAGGATTTCAAGCAGGAAAGATTTTGACAGTGGTGCTTTATAATTAACTCTGCGATGTTGGTGGCACACAGGATCCCCCGGCAACAGCAGGGTGTGGCAGTAATCATGTATCAGCAGGGGTGGAAGTATTCATAACCTTTACTTAAGTAGAAGTAACAAATCCACAGTGTAGAAAATACTACACAAATAGTATTACAAGTAAATTGATTTTTATATTTAAATAAAAGTGAATATTAGCAGCAAGTCTAACCATTTCAGAATCATTTATATTATATTATTGGATCATAGCTACTGATCATAGACTGTATACGAAGATGGAGTGTGTTCAGTAATGATCGTGGTGTAGAACCATGGTATTGAGATTCCATCGATACACGTGCTCGACTAATCACAAGTCTCAGCTGTCAATTATGACCTGTTGCATCATTTTTATAGCGTCAAATAACGAATCAAAACTAAGCTTATCGAAACACTTGAACAAACATTGGTGTGATAAGATCGAACTAAAATGACAGAGCATTGTATTTAACATGTAATTTGGCCCATTTTCCATCCACTAACATAGAGGAGGCTGGCTTTATGATCTATACTGCAGCCAGCCACCAGGGGGTGATCCAGATGTTTTGGCTGCACTTTTGAGGAGCAATTATGTCATCCATCTTTACTTCAGCTGCTTTCAGACAAGCACTCTGCAGTTTCTGCCGACTTTATCCACCTGGCCTCATAGTATAATGTCCGATATGAGAATACAGCTGGGGAGCCAAAGTCTAACTGTGATCCCATTTAAACAGAGAAAATTCTCATTAGAATCTAAAATGTGCTTCCTCTTGTTCCAGTTCAAGGATTTTAATTACATTTTGAGAGTTTAGAATTTGAAAAGCGTGTGAGGTACAACTGGGTGGTGTCTCTCTGCAGCTGTGACACTGAGCTTTTAGAATAACAAACCTCTGACTGTGTGTCCTGCTGCACGACCAGCCTGTCATCACAGCTCAAATGGCGAGCGAGTCCTGTGTTGTTCACACCCTCCCTCACCATGTTTCATATGATATTCTTGTCCTTAATAGACCAATTGTCTCTTCAAAGAATCAAACACAAACATTCTAATTGACTGCAAGCTTATTTCCTTATTTAGTCTCACATTGCCAGGCATGCGACTATTTTAGCCTCACATGCCTCATTTCCTGCTTGTTGACAGCAGAAATTGTCAGGAAATGAACCAAGATGGAGGCTGATAACAACAACAAGACTTAATTCTGGTGAAAAGGTGAAAAGGTTTATAAATGAAACTGAAGATTTTATGATGTATGATTTAGAAGTGTCGGTTAAGAGGGTTTTCACAGCAGCTCTATGTTGAGTTTGTCTTTAGGGACAGCTAAAAGGTGTCAGCCTCAGCTGGGCATGATTAAAGGAAACTAATAAATGTACTTTTGTGGATTATTTTCTTTATCAATAAATTAATTGTTGTCAATAAAATTTTGAAAATAGTTACAAATCAATTCCCAGAGCCCATAGGAGATGTATTTCACTTTGGTGTGAAACATGTTAGAACTTGACCACCTAATCAACATTGCCATATCAGATAAAAAATGATAAAACACATTTTGTGTTTGTTAATAATCAGTATTGTTTTTTTGTAAATCAATTAAATTATTTGAATATTATTCTGCAGAATTACATAGTAAAACTGCAAAGATAAGTCATAAACTCAATTTATAGATTTGAAGAAAAATTAATTGGCAGATATTTTGCGCATCAATTTATAATTATTCATTTTTCAAGTGAAACTGCCAAATATATCATGTTGCAGCCTCATTAGAATTTGCAACTTTTCCCTAAGTTCATTTCAGTGAATTGAATATCTTAGGGTTTTAGAGAACCTAAAACATTTGATGATCAACATAGGCTGTAAGAAGTAATGATTGGTGATGGCATAATTATTAATTGAAAAATGAATCTGCAAATGAATTGATAGAACCCCAAAATCATATTCAGTTAAGTAACATAGTTCCATTGCGACTTCAAAATGTGACTTGGCCTTAAAAACGATAGGGGTCACGTGTGTGTTTCATAATGCACATTATCTGTTGGATTATGTAAATGAGTTTGTGCAACGTGATAGTGTTTGTCCATCAGAGTGTGAGACAGTCCTGCCCTGTGTCTGGAATCAGCGCATTGCATGGCTACAGCTCAAGGACATTGATATAGCCATGTGCTCAACTCTATCAGGAAGATGTAAGACTTCTCACTTTCAGTCTACTTATTCCACGCCGACTTCACAGACCTTCCAGAGCTCAGGTTGCCGCCAACAAGCCTCAGCCCAAGTTTCTTTATTGGCTTCAGCCCAGCCCAGACTTTGTGTAATAACTCACTTCCACTTTCTGCAGACACAGTGGTCCAGCTAAAGCTTCTGGCTTCTCCATCTCTCTGAATATTTGTTTCCAGGCACAAATCAGATCTTGGCCTCATTACAGGGATGGTATAGTCATGAAGCATTTAGCCGACCCCTTGCAGGCAAGAGTGAGCAGCTGAGGAGCAGCAGAAGCACAAGCCTGTAGCAGAACCAAGTTAGTGTTGTGATTCATCCCGTTGGCATCTCTGTGCATATCCTGCTAACATGCCCACTTGTTCCTCTCCCCTCTTCTCAGTTGACTCTCACTATCGACTAAGCCCACAACCCCCACTTAGGAGTGACGGCCGAGGCTCATTCAGTACTTGCTTGCTTACAGTACATGTTCACTATGTTGCTCTTCTCTAGTCTCCCCTCGCTATCTTTCCTCTGCTGCTCTCTAGGCCACTGGAAAGATATCTGGAAGGCTCCACATTTCACTATTGCATGTCAGCTGCTGTGTCGAGCCAGCCAGTCAAGTTCCAGTA